GTAAATCAACCTCTGTTATTCTTTTGGTTCTATTTCTCTGGAGAACCCTAACATGTATACTAATAATGTGCAGAAAGTCAGGACAGAAGGCGACTTGCCTCTGACCTGCCGTCAGACTCCATCCGGGTCTCTGGGGGCCTCTGACCACCTGTGCCCACATTGGCATTCTATGCACAAAAGTGTCAGCTATTGTGTGTTGAGCTCTCACTAAGTCTTACATGTATAAATATTTCCTCACTCTTTTCTCAAAAAATATTTTGAAATAATAGGTATTTTACACACAAAGAAACAGAGGTACAGAAATATATGTTAACTACTTAAGGGCACATAGTTAGTGACAGAGCTGGCGCTCTCACCCCGGTCCATCCATGTACCTGCACGTGCTCTTACCCACCCCCACTGTGAATGGTGCTCAGGATCCCCAAATACCGATTCTGGTCTGCAGGCGGTGGCTACATTTTATCCCCACCTTTCACCATTAATTGACATTGAACCTAAGGGGCCAACTGTTTGTGCACATGAACTTTGCCCCTCATCCTTTCCTGCCTGGTCCAGCTCTCTAGTCTTGGCCACAGAACAGACAGCTGAACCTGCACCACACTTTTTGGTACTGAGTTGCCAGCAATAACCTGTCCCATCTACAGAGACTCAAATGCACATGCCTCTCACATTCCCTGTCAACACACAGTAAGTACCTCAGGACATCCTGGCTGTGTCCTGGGATAAGAGCTGATGTGTTCACATGACGGTAAAAAGGTACAAATAGGAGCTGCATGGTCTCAGAACCACGAGTAATCGGAGGAGGAGACGTTTGGGTCGCGACCTGATATGAGTCTACCAGGCCAGGCAAAGGAACGGGGAGAAGGATGGAGCAGGAGTCCGGGCAGCCCTGATCATGTGCAGCTGCTCTGACACCCAGATCCTGATATTTTCTGGGCCACTAGTTCCTGAGATCTGAGCACTTCCTCCGAAACATGCTGGTATGGGCTGAATGTGTCTGCTTTCTCCAAATTCCTATGTTGAAGTTCCAACCCCCAGAACTTCAGGGTGTGACCTTATTTGGCTCTCAATGAGGCCCCAGAGTGGGCCCTAATCCAATGTGACTGGCATCCTTATCAGAAGAGAGCAGGACATGGACACACACAGAGGGACGACATGTGAGGACACAGGGAGAAGGTGGCATCTACATGCCAAGGAGAGGGGCCTCAGAGGAACCAGCCCTGCTGACACTGACACCTTGATCTCAGACTCCCAGCCTCTGGTACTGTGAGGCAATACATTTCCACTATTTAAGCTGTCCAGTCTGTGGTATCTGTTTCAGCAGCCCTAGCTAACTCGTTCATATCGTGAGCACACGTGTAGCTCAACTAGCTGTGCAGTCACATCCTCTTCTGGCTTGGTCCCACTGCCTTCTGGGGCCTGTCCACCTAATCCCAAAGGGTCTGATGGGTGCCAGCCTCTACTCAATGAGTAGTTCTCTAAAAGCGAGCTGGGACTGGCCTTGTGGGTGATGCCCACTGTAACAGGAGACACCCAAGAGGCAGGCTTGCCCAGGTGGTGAGCAAGTTAGTGCTTTTCCATCTAGGAGGGAGGGCCAGACAGGCAGGGGACACACAGGGGCAGCAGCAGGACAGGGAGAATCAAAGGGCAGGATCTGCTTCCTGGCCCTGTTATAATCATAGCAGCTCATCTTTTTGTTATGTTTTATATCTTGGACTTCTACATAAGAGTCTGTTAGCAAGAAGGGTTCAATTGCCTAAAAACAAATATCAAAACACTGAACTTGAATGATCTCGAAAGTGTCTATGAGTCTATCATTCTGTTTCCACAAGAGAGAGAAAAGAGGGCGGCAAATTCACATAAGCAGGAAACAAGACTGCTAAACAACATCAGCCTTCATTCGGCCTCCTTCTGAGGTGAAAGGTGTTTGTTTCATACATGATATCTACTTGAAAGGTAAAATCTTCCAAGGGATAGACTGTGTCTTCAAGCTTAATTATAAATGTATGTGGCAAGCTTGGAAGCTTGCTACACTCTTGAGCTGCTTTCTCGTTTTCACGTGGCCTGGTGTGCAGTATCAGAGTAGGACTTTGGTGCTCAAGGAATCTACTTTCCTTTGGTGGGGTCCAAAATAAACCACCCATGTTGTAGGCAGGCCCATGCCCAACAAAAAGGGCTCTTTTAGAAGATGAAAGTATTAGGTGTAAAATGCAAGCCAGTTCTAGACAATCATTGTTAATAACACTGTACCTTCGACTCATCTGTTCCAAAACATACTGCTCTAAAGAATGATCTTCCATAAAATAGTCTACTGACACAATTAACCTCTGACTGAGAAGGGAAAATTTTCCTCCCATATTGATGTATTCTGTTGCTAGGAGATAGGTTTGGAACAGAATTTCTAAATTAAAACTTTCCTGAAGACTGGTTTTTATTGAACCTGGCCCTCTAAAAGAACACGTTGCATTTACCATGAGCGTTAGTGTGCAAAACCTGTCATTTCTGAAGCTAGAAGACTATTAACCAGGTAAGCAAGTGTATAATCCAGGCATCTTACCATCACATTAAAATAAGAGTATGTTTATGAGAGGCATCTATGGTGTGGGGGAAAAGCACTACATTAGGAGGGAGAAAAAACCAACTGGGATCTGCCATTTACTACCTTGGAAGATTACTTAACGTCTCTCAGCCTTGATCTTCTTATCCATAAAGTGGGGACAACATTTTTTTCATAAGTTTGTTGTGAAGTATAATTAGATATTGTATGTAAAATGCCTTTTAAAATATAAAATGCTATATGGATACAGAAATTATACAAGTTTACAGTAATATTTTTTTTTTTGCTGAATAAGCAGCACGTTGCTCACATTTTCAAATTCTCTGGGAAATTTGCTAAACTACGTCATGGAATAGTATGACTAGAAGTACCGGAACTGTTCCCGAGTGTGCTTTCCCTGACGGAACGTGTGAGCTCTTGGGACAGGAACGGCTCCTACTCTGGAGGCCTGCGGCGGGTGCGAGAAACTGGCTCGTGGAGGGAAGGGAGAACGGAGGGTGTGAGGTGGGGAAGGAAAGGAGAGAAAGGAGGGAGGGAGAGGAGAGAGGGAGGGGGGATTTTCTTAGGTTGATCATAAAGCCAATATCAAAAGAATGCCATAGAATCCCAAAGACAACCATAGTAACGACAGCATCTCTGGGATTAATATACACCCGCTGAAGGGGTCAAGGCTCACTTGGATGCTTATTATCCAGGAGGTTAAAAAAAAAAAAATTAGGACACTATCTGCAAGTCGCACTTCATTTTCTCCTTCAGGATATGTACCCATTGTAGATGAAGGAAATACTGAATTTATTCAACTTTGAATATTCATCTTGATATAAGTACCACCAAGAGCTGTGTCAGCCAAAGTATTTGAAACAGCCATTTCTATTTCACACAAAAATGCATGAGCTTGAAAAACAGCACTTCTGCTGACATTAAGGTTCTCTGGTGTCCAAGGCTGCGTGGCAGAAACAATGCCAAGAATAGGTACTGGGCACCTACTATTTAACCAGCAAGCCACCAGCACCCCTGGTGTAGGACAGTATTTTGTGATTCTGAGTTAAAGTTTCTCATCTGATGGGTACATATTTAAGGCTAAAACAACATGAAAAGTTTACAACATAATTCTCAAAAAAGCAGGAAAAAGAAAGATTCAAAGTTGCATATAGAATGTGACTATATGTATGTTAAAAATAATAGAAAGGAGAAACACACACAAGAAAGCTAATAATGAAAATATTTAAATGGGAAAAAAACAATGGGTGGTTTTCTTTTGATTTTTTTTTTTTACTGGGTAGATAGTGCTTTTATAATGATAAACTAATTTGAAAAAAATCCCCAAATGATATGACATTGTTTTAGTTAACAAAGACTGCTATATAACTAAACTGTCACGAATGTGACAGAACTTAGTATTTATTAGTTCATTTCCCTTCACATCAACCACAAGAGACGCTTATCTGAGAACTGCCTTCCTGCAGCTTATTGGTTACACACAGATCGGGGTTCCTTGTACTCCGCATTTCCCTGGTGCTCTAAACACTGGCCCCATTGACTGGCATTGGCAAAGTCGGGGCAGGTACACCTTAAAAATCCAACCTTCACATTCCTTTTCCTTACATAGAGGAAGCCTCTGGAAGCAGAGACTGGGCTTACCGTGACTCTCTCACATGTTTGTGGATGAAGTCGGCATGGAAACGCGGGACCAGGGGATCCTTCTCCCCATGCACGATTAGGGTGGGGCACTGGACCAGGGGCAGCACGTGCCGGCAGATGCTCCCTGAAAGACAAAAGGCACATGGACTTTGCTTCGACGTGGCCATTCCATGAGGTATAGCACACGAGGCACTGAGAGCTTGGGGTTCAGGTCCTGCCCCCCTTTGGATGTCCGTGTCCCCATCTATAACAAGGCAGTTTGGATTAGATGGGTTCTGAGGTGCCCTCTGGCTCTAACATTCTTTCAGTTTCCTTTCGCGTTTCTCTGCTGTTTTTCTCTTTTAAATCTCTAGTAGTAAAACCAGTGGTTTTGCTTGACTTATGTTCATAACCATGTAAAGTAGTAGGAAAAACAACCAATAAAACCCACAGTTCACTTTGTATTACATAGAACAGCTCCCAGTCTGCAAAACGATTTTAGATTCCTTGGCATCTGGAAGGCTTTTCCCTTGAAATCATGTCTTAAACGGCCCTGAGGATCCCAGCTCGGCCTCACAGCTAACATGCCTTGTGATGAAATTACAGTTCACGTAGGTACTGAGCGTCTCTTTATCCCTCCTGCCTCCACAGCATTCCTGACTGACCTATTTCTGGGAGACTGCCAAGGTCCTCACCTCCTTTACAACATTTCTAAGGTGAGCGTGGTACAACCTGGGCCCCAGTACCTATGCCGCCATCTCCTGCCTGTGAAAGCTCAGTGGTTCCTTAACCGCTTTGAGCTTCAGCCTGTCCTCCATCAAAAGGGATAATCACAGTTCCCTGGTGTGATCATGAGGTTAAAAGAGATGCCCTATCTAAGGTACCCCATAGGAATAGGAGAGGAGAGGAGGCACCCAGATGTGCTCCTGTAAAACCAGTCTCCCCTGACCCCCCAACCCAGGCCTGTGTCCAGAAGGAAGTGCTGCAGCTCTGAGAAAGCTGGGCGCCAGCCCTTGGGTGCTAGCAAGGCACCAGGCCTCTCTCCTCCTCTACATCTGGGGGACACTGTTTGCTAAATGAGAGGCTGACCAGGGAAATACTTCGCTAGGTCTCTGAGGTTTCCCTCGCCTGTCCCTAGGATGACATGTGCCTGCCAGGTGCACAATCAGATGAAGATTAAAACTGGAATTACCAGGCAATCCTTATGGGTCAGAAACTGTTCAAATGATTTAATACCTGGGAAACACTTGTTGGTAACATTTAAGTCATTTAGTACGTACAATTATTTGCAAAACAGGTGCTTGAATAATGACCTTTTAAGCACTTTGTACTTGGTACTGCGCCAAAGCTGAGTATCATCCTCATGACAGCTTTATGAGGTAGCTATTGGTACCTCCAGTTCAGACAGGACACTGCAGCTGAGCGAAGCTGAGAAATCTGCCCAAATCCATCTAGTAACAAGCCGGCGGCAAAGCCAAATTCATGCTCAGGCCTACCTGACTCTAAATCTGTGCAATTAATCCCTAAGCTAAACAGATCATCTACAGACCTGAGTTGTACTTATGAAAGAAATGGGCTTCTGCGATCAATTGGGACAAATGGGAGCTACTTTATTAAGTAGTCTTGCTGTAAGATGATTTACACATTGCTAGTTTCTCCATAGTCTGACATTTTTTCCCCCTCACTTATTCTTTCTCTCTTTTTCAAAATACGTGTTATTTTTTAGAGCTTTAAGGTTTTATAGCAAAAGTGAGAAGGAGCAGAGATTTTCCTACTTGGCCTCTGTCCCCCAGAGGCACAGCCTCCCTCATGATCGACATGTGCCACCAGAGTGGGACATTTTTACAACTGATAAACCTACACTGATGCACTGTCATCACCCAAATCCCTAATTTTCTACATAGTTCACTCTCGGTGGTGTACATTCTGTGGATCTGAACACAGCGTATGCTGACACGTATCCATCATCAAAATATCATGCAGAGTAGTTTCACTGCCCTAAAATTCCAGTTTGGGCCATTCTAATTGGTGAAAGTGGAGTCCTGTGATTTGGGCCGTCTTTTAGATTGTTTTCTTCTGATTCAGTTTTAAGAGTTCTTTGCATATTTGGATAACAATCCTTTATTAAGACTTTTCACAAACTTTTTTATTTTGAAAGAGCCTTTCACAGAGCACTTTTAATCTTAATGATTACAGAACATATTTTTGAATGGATTAATTCTGCATCCATCTTTGAATCTTCCTACCTTCTCACCTTACTCTTCAAGAAAGCATGCAAGTGTACACTTCACAAAGTTGCCTTCTTTAAATGTTGTCTCAGACATTGTTGTATAATATTTTTGTTTTAAAAGCTGAGGGAAACACATTTGAAAGGCCTGTTTCTATGGGTGGATACTTCATTTGAACAGGATGTATTTGCTGTTTTGAACTTAACCCAAAAAAGTAATACTTCCAAATGTCCTTTTCATTGTGAAAGTTGTGACAGATGACTCATTCTGGAAATGATTACCTAATAGACCAGACTGGTCCTTCAATCACAGCCATTTTGTAACTGAATGTGCTCTAAGATTAGATTTTAGCTACTCTCTACTCTTTTAGCAATTAAAACAGAAAGGGGATTACAAATGTAAACAGCCATATAGAGAGACTTTACTTCAGAATTTCCCTTAAAGATGTCAATTCTTACTGTTACTGAAAACCATATTAATTTTCAGATGAAGACAGTGAGACATCTGTTAAGGTAAAGTCATATAACTTAATTCCATAGATGGAACAAGAACTGAACAAATACTCTCTTCCTCGTATTGGTTCTGCTGGAGTTGACGGTCATGACCAAAGTCTCTCCTTTTTGCCCTAGTAACAGAGGAAGGATGCAGTGGGGTGGCATGTGTAAAAAAGAAAAAAAAAACCGGTATGTGTTGCAGCTTGCTTTCTAATTACCCTTTCTGGAATTTGAAAATAAAGGCTATTTGAAGCTTCTGGAGAATTATTTTGTCACTGCACACAAAAAAGGATTAGAAGGAGAAAAGAACAGTGCTATTAAAGACTCAACTGTGAACCTTAATGCATACAGCATGTCTCTGGCTTAAGGGGGACTTATTACACAGGATGTGTATTGTATGCAACCCCTCATGTCCTCTGCTCGTATGCAATATGTAAGGACAGTGTTCAGTGAACTAATCTGCAAGGAATCCTGGACCTCCAGGGAAGGGACTCAAGCAGCCTCTCCCGTTAGCAGAAGAGCATTAAACAGTCCATATGACCTACCGTCTGGAAGATGTTTGAACTGTTTTATTCCATCCACCCACTTCTCACAGATTTTGGCAAGGTAGTCATACCCATATAGGGTTTCCAAAGGCTTTCTTGTTCTCTCACTCCATTTAGAAACATCTCGGATTCCTGAAAAACAGAAGTTGGACAAGAACAGGTTTAGTCTCATGTTAAGGGTTATCTTTAACTGTTCCAAGCACAGTGCACTGCAGAGCCACTGTGTGGGCCACTCTACCTGGAATGCTTCACCGGACTTCCACATGGCTCAGTCCTCATTGCATCCTTCCCTGATGACCTCCTGGCCCACTTCCCTGCACCTACTCTGCTCAGCACTCACCACCACTTTGTGGTGTTTCCTGTGCCCACGGCTGAGTATCTGTCTCCCCACTAAGACATGAGCTTCCATGTAAGGGACTCTGCTTTGTTTTGTTTCCACTGTCACCCCAGGGCCTAGACCAGTGCCTGGCACAACAGAGGCACACCATAAATTCTTACCATATGAATGAAACTATACCTGCATTTAATGCTTTCTGAGGTGTAAAAGAAGATACCCCTCTAATTAGGGTCATCTAAGAGTGACAGAAGTATTTTTCTGAATTGCATTTATATATATTGAGAAACACACAAATTATCATTCTAATTTCTGCTACTGAAGATACACGGGTGTAAAAGACTACTAACTTCAACTGTATTACAGATGATGTAATAGGAATAATGTATTTTCTATTAGGAAAGGATACAATAGCTAAAGACCAGTTCTAAAATAAGTAAACAAAGTCAATTACTTAACCCAGTCTTTTCCATATTTCATTGAACACACTGATAATTTATGAAACTAATGTTCCTGAGCATATTAAATATTGCTAATGCTTTTTTGAAGATCTTTTAATATGTGTTTCTGCTACATGATACATCTTAAAGATAGCATGACACTAGTGATATGAACTCATATCAAACAATCACCTATCCAGCACTTTGGATGGTGCCAGCACCTGGCAGGTACCCAATATATACCTAATGAATGGAAATAATGGAATGGAAGGAAAACTGCTATTACCAGCTACGCCTTCTAAGGAGGGTGGGTCCTGTCACGGACAGCACCTGCCCTTTGCTCTGCTGACTGACTGGACCTGCAGAGGGAAGCCTGCAGCTGACTACAGAAGCTAAGGAGAGCTGAGCTGCTCTGCCAAGAGTGAGAAGCCCTCACGGGGGTGCAGAGAAGCAGTCTGAAAATTATGAGGTGGGGAGGAGACTGGGAAAAACAAAAAGGAGAGTTGAAAGAGGCAGGGGGAGAGGGGAGCTAGCAAGACGGCATGTAGACGGCCAATGAAACTGCCCATGGATGTTCCTACTTTTGGTTGCACAGCAAACAACATCCAGTGAAAGGCCCTCTTTCGGTGGAACTATTAGATCTCTCATAAAATACAATTTCTGTTGCTTTGTTGGAGTTTCAGTAATTAATGAAAATTAGAGTTTGAATTTTTATGTGTGTAAGAGAGAGAGAACCCTGAAAACAGAACAAAGAGTGGTAAGACTACCCAGAAGGCAGGGTTGCCTTTGGGGGAAACATACCTGTTGGCTGGAGTGGGTGGGTAGTGGACCCTGGGCTTCCTGAATTCAGCTGAGATGCGAACGGGCCCAGCCTGGTGTTATCCTGGGGCTCCCAAGACCAGCTAATGTAAACCCCTCTGAAGGAAAGTATCTTAATTTATGGTCACTGTCTATTTTTGTGTTGTTTTCAGATTAAGGATAAGCAAATATTTGCTCCTCATCAAAGAACATAAAACAATCAAAATCTTTATAAAGCTAATGAAAAAAGTAGAAAGTTGGAAGAGAAAGCTTAAGAAATTACACAGAACACCACACAGAGAAAGAAGATGAACAAGACACAGGAAAGCTGGAAAGGCAAGGTTCACAAAGTCCAATCAGCCCCAGAAAGAGAAGAAGGGAAGAAGTGCGATATCTTAAGAAATAGACAGGCAAGAGTGTTTTTCAGAACTGATCAAAGAAACCACAGACAAGCGGCCCAGACCTACGCTCAGCCTGCGCCAGCCATGCCACTGCCCAGGAGAAGCCATGGCCTCTTTCCGCTTGGCCCTCATCCAGCTTCAGGTTTCTTCCATCAAATCAGACAACCTCACTTGAGCAGGTGGCCTTGTCCAGGAGGGCAGCAAGGCAAGGAGCCAAAATAGCTTCTCTTCCGGAATGCTTTAATTCTCCATATGGCATGAAATATTCTCTGAATATGCAGAAAAAATTCCTGGAGAAGCCACACAGAAGCTTTCTGAAGTAGCAAAGGAATGCAGCTTATATCTCATTGGAGGTAACTTCCTACCCTCAAGGTTCCATTTCTGAAGAAGATGCTGGAAAACTGTATAACACCTGTGCAGTGTTTGGGCCTGATGGAACTTTACTGGTGAAGCACAGAAAGGAATTCAAAGAATTATCAGAGAATTCTATGAAAAATTATATGTCAATAAATCAGACAACCTAGAAGAAATGGGAAAATTTCTAGAAAAGTACAACTTACCAAGACTGACCCAGGAAGAAATAGAGAATCTGAACAGACCAATTACCAGTAACAAAATTGAATTGGTAATCAAAAAACTCCCAACAAACAAAAGTCCAGTACCAGATGGCTTCACAGCTGAATTCTACCAAACATTTAAAGGGCTAATACCCATCCTTTTTAAAGTATTACAAAAAGTAGAAAAGGAGGAAATACTTCTACACTCATTCTGTGAGGCCAGTATCACTCTAATAATACCTAAACCAGACAAAACACTACAAAAAAAGAAAACTATAAACAATATCTCTGATGAACATAGATGCAAAAATTCTCAACAAAATATTAGCAAACCAAATTAAAAATGACATCAAAAGTATCATCCATCACGACCAAGTGAGATTTCTTCCAGGGATGCAAGGATGGTACAATATTTGTAAATCAATTAATATGATACACCACATTAACAAAAGGAATATTAAAAACATATGATCATCTCAATAGATAAAAAACGTTTGACAAAATTTAGCATCCATTCATGATTAAAACTCTCAACAAAATGGGGTTGAAGGGACCACACCTCAACATAATAAAGACCATATATGACAAACCCACTGCTAGCATCATACTCAATGGTGAAAAGCTGAAAACTTTTCCTCTAAGATGAGGTACAAGACAAGGCTGTACACTCTCACCACTTTTATTCAACATAGTTCTGGAGGTCCTCGCACAGCAATCAAATAAAAAAGAGATAAAAGGCATCCAAATTGGTAGGGAAGTAAAACTGACTATTTGCAAATGATATGATACTATATATAGAAAGCCCTAAAGACTCCACCAAAAAACTAATAGACCTAATAACTGGATTCAGCAAAGTTGCAGGATACAAAATTAATACACAGAAATCTATTGTGTTCCTATATACTAACAAGAAAGTAGCAGAAAGAGAAATCACAAAAATAATTTCATTTAAAATTGCACCAAGAAGAATAAAATACCTAGGAATTAACCTGACCAAGGAATGAAAACCTGTACTCTGAAAACTATAAGACACTTGTGAGAGAAATTAAAGAAGATATAAATAAGTAAAAATCTATCCTGTGCTCATGGATAGGAAGAACTGATATTGTCAAAATGGCCATCCTACCCAAAGCAATTCACAGATTCAATGCAATTGCTATCAAAACACCAACTGTATTTTGCAATGAACTAGAGCAAATAATCCTAAAATTCATATGGAACTACAAAAGACCCTGGGTAGCCAAAGCCATCCCGAGAAAGAAGAACAAAGCTGGTGGTATAATGCTCCCTGACTTCAAGCTATACTACAAAGCTGTAGTAATCAATGTGGTTCTGACACAAGAACAGACCTCTAGATCAAGGGAACAGAATAGAGAGCCCAGATAGAAACCCATACATATATGGTCAATTAATATGCAATAAAAGAGCCACGAATATACAATAAGGAAAAGACAGTCTCTTCAATAACTGGTGTTGGGAAAACTGGACAGCTACATGCAAGAGAATGAAACTGGATTATTGTCTAACTCCATACACAAATAAATTCATAATGGATTAAAAGACCTACATGTGCAACATGAAACTATCAACCTCTTAGAAGAAAATGTAGGCAAAAATCTCATGAACATAAGTATGAGCAGTTTTCTCCTGGATACATCTTCTTAGGCAAGGGAAACAAAAAAATGAACAAGGTGGACTACAATCAACCTAAAAAGCTCCTGTACAGCAAAGGACACCATCAACAGAAAAGGCAACCTATTGTATGGGAGAATATATTTCTAAGTGATTTATTTGATAAGGGGTTAACATTCAAAAGATAAAAAGAACTCATATGACTCAACACCAGAAAAAAATGACCCAACTAAAAAATGGGTGGAGAACATGATCATTTTTCCAAAGAAGAAATTCATATGGCAGCAGGCACATGAAAAGATGCTCCACATCCCTAATCATCTGGGAAGTACAAATCAAAACCACAGTGAGATACCACCTCACACCAGTTAGAATGGTCACTAAGCAAAAGACAACAAGTGTTGGTGAGGATGTGGAGAGAAGGGAGCCCTCCTACACTGTTGGTGGAAATGTAAATTGGTGCAGCCACTGTGGAAAGCAGTATGGAGGTTCCTCAAAAAACTAAAACTAGAAATACCATTTGAACCAGTAATTCTACTTCTAGGAATTTATATGAATAAAACAAAAATCCATGATTTGAAAAGATAAATGCGCCCCTATATTTATCACTGAATTATTTACAATAGATATTAATAGATGAATGGGTAGAGAAGTGGCATGTATATACAGCGGCATATTATTCAGCAATAAAAAGCAAATCCTGCCATTTGTGACATGGAGGGACCTAGAGGGTATTATGCTAAGTGAAATAAGCCAGGTGGAGAAAGACAAATGACATATGATTTCACTTATTTGTGGCATCTCAAAACAAATTTAAAAATGAACAAAATAGCAGTAAACTTATAGGCAATGAAGAGTGGTGGTTAACATGGGGGAGGGGTTTGAGTGGGTGAGGGTGAGGGAGATAAAGGGGCACAAAAATTCCCAATCAATATATAAGTTGGTCACAGGGATGTTAGTACAGCATGGA